TCTACCCTGTGTTATAGGGTCGCTATGAATCGGAATGAACCTGATGACAGTGGATGTGGTGTGGGTTTGATACTTTTGTCAACCTGACCCTGTTTGGAGGTAGGAAGGTTTTTGTTTTTTCCCTATGTTACTGAGGGTAGACCAGAGCTGGGTGGGACCTAAATCCAATCACTTCCGAGTTAGACCAGGATGGACACAGAGGTTTGGCATGGGGCTTATGCCAGGTCATCAGTCTGAACCCACGCTGTCAGCTCCGGTTAACAGTTCTCGTCTTACAAACCCACAGGAGCTGTTCTACTCTATCCTGTAGGGTCGCTGTGAGTCAGAATCAACTCGATGGCAGTGAGTTTGGTTTGGGTAAGAGTCAAACTTCCCAGACGTCTCCTAAGGTGCCCCTGATCCCTGCTGGTGTGGCTTTGTCCCCTAAGCCTCTGTAGGGCAACTCTGCTGAGCCAGGTGCAGTTGCCACCAGGAGAATCCTGACTCATGTGGGAGACCCATGTGTGCCCGGGTAGAGTGGCACCCCACTGGGTTTTCAACGGATGCATTTTCCAGAAGGAGATCCCAGGCTTTTCTTCAGATTCACTCTGGGAGGGACTTGAACCCCCAATTTTCAATTTTCGGGTGACGGGCAGAGCATTTGCACCACCCAGAGGACTTACTAGGAAGGCAGGTAGCTGGGGTTACTGAGCACTTAACATGTGCCCAAGGGGGCTCGGTGTGTGTGTGTGTGTGTGTGTGTTTCCATGTTGGCTAATGATTTTGTGCTGGGTGCTGAGCTCACCTGGCTGGGTGGCCTCTGCCCACCTAGTGCCCCTAGAGCAGGATTTTTCTCAGAAGAGGAAATTGAGGATTAGCACAGAGAGTGGGATTTGCAGGGGGTGGGGGGTGAGATGGAGGCTCCTCCACTTCAGTCTCTATTCTAGCAGTGGCTGTGTGATTTCCTGAGCCCTGGGGGTGGAGTGGGTTTCACACTGAGCCCTTGAACACAAGGTCACGAGTTAAAACCTGCTGCTCCAAGAGAGAAAGATGAGGCTTGCTCCCTTTGCAAGCAGTCACGGTCTCGGAAACCCGCAAGGGTAGTTCTACGCTGTTCTAGAGGGTAGCTACCAGTTGGACTGGACTTGATGGCAGTGAGCATGGCATGGTTTCTTGTACATTTTGCTGGCTGGCTTTCGAGTCAAGGCCCTACTCCACTCCCCACCGGCGAGTAAGTGGATGAGATCCGGGCTGGAAACAGGAGGCTTTGCCCGGTTCTTGAGGCCATCTTGGGGCAGGGTATGCCTTGCAACTCTTCCAAGATGTAACCAGAGCAGAGGAGACAGAGAGGAGCTAATGAGAGGAGGCCAGTAGGTCCCACTTGGACATCTGTGCAGAAGACTGGGAACCTACTCCTGGAGAACGGATGTAGAACCCCCTTTCTGCTCCTCAATCGAAGCCCTGACATCGGAGGTCTAGCTTCCTGAACTACAAGAAAATAAATTTGTTTGTCAGACCCACCCGTTTGTGATAGGTAGTTCCTGCCTGAGTGGCACCAGTGAGCCGGGAAGACCCAGGGATGGTGCTAATGGTTTGCCACCGGCTGCTACAACGATAAGGTTGGTGGTTTGAACCCACCCAGTCCAGTATGTGGGGCGGAAGAAAGACCTGGTGAGAAACATCTCAACCAAGAAAATCCTTGGGTGCAAAGTTCTACTTCATAGCCCACAGGGGTCACAGCAGTGAGCCACAGCAGTGGATTTTCAAGTAGCAAATGAAGACGCATGTCTGAAGTCATCCCAATAGAAAGAGGACAAGAACATGAACTCAGGACCTCCACGTCCCCACCGCTCCCATCTTTGTTCATTAGACACCTCAAAGGCTGAGCACCCGCCAATGCGGGCGGTGGGGGTGGGGGGAGCAGGGAAAACGCCCGCCTCCCTTGACTTCATTCGCTTGTAAGCCAGGGGTCTGCAGACCCCAGTGGCGTCTGTGAAGACATGGTTTGCTTGGCCTGTACACTGAAGATTTTGTATTACTTGCCAATTGATTTCATGTAAAAACAAACACCATGATGTCCAAGTGCTCTTAACCCCCCTTCCCCCACACACACCACACACACACACAAGCGCCTAGAAGTTTCTAGAGCTGTACTGTCCAACAAGCTAGTCATCTGGGTGTGCGGGGAGTCCCCACCAATGGTGCCTCAGCCTCAGGGTGAAATGTACAACAGATTTCAAAAACTCACTCCCACTGAGTCGATTCGGACTCCTAGTGACTCTGTAAGACAGGCTGGAACTGCTTCTGTGGGTTTCTGAGACTCTGACTCTTTAGGAGAACAGAGAGCCTTGTCTTTCTCCCACAGAATGGGCTGGTGGTTCTGAACAGCTGACCTTGCGGTGAGCTGCCTAACACATAACCACTACTGCCACCAGGGCTCCTATTTCTAAAGCTTAGGTCGGAACAAGGAGCTGAAGGGATCGTGTCAATAGTGTTTATGTTGGTCATAGGCGGAAATGGTAGTGTTGGATTAAGTAAATAAATCCAAAAATTGATTTCATTTGTTCTGAGTTTCCGTCTTTTTTTTTTTTTTAATGTGACTCCTAAAAACAAAAATCAAACCCACCGTCATCGCCTGGGTTTATTCTTAGCCAGTGGACGACTGTATGGGATCTCCAAGTCTGGCAATCTTCCCTCCTCAGAGCAGCTGGGGGGTTTGAACCACCAACTTGGTGGTTAATAGCCCAAGGCTTAATCTACTGCACCAGACAGTTCTCAGTCACCTTGACCCCCAACCGGGGAGTCCTTGAGTGATGGAAACAGTTAGTGGAGTCCATTGCGAAGAAGTTGGCGGTTCAAAGCCACTCGGCGGCTCCTTAGAGGAAAGAGCTGGCCAGCTGTTGAGAAACCACCATGGGAGTGGGGAGGGGGAGAGGAAGAGGAGCTGATATCAAGGGCTCAAGTAGAAAGAAAATGTTTTGAAAATGATGATAACGTATGTACAAATGTGCTTGATGCAATGGATGGATGGGGATAAGAGCTGTAGGAGCCCCCACTAAAATGATTAAACAACAAAAAATAAACCCACCGTCGAACACCCTGTGGAGCCGGATTCTCCTCGGACAGAGGGGAGTTGGCACTGACGCACTGGCGACCACTTGGGTCTTTTTTTCTCTCTTATTGGTGGTTGCCAGCGCTGCAGTGGTTCAAACCCTCCCTTTGCCTGTTAAGCAAAAGGTCAGCGGTTCCAACCCACCGGCCCCTTGGTGGTAGGATGTGGCAGTCTGTGCCCGGTAAGGGGCCAGCCTTGGAAAGCCCTCGGGGCTGCCCTGCCCTGTCGGTGACAGGGCCGCTGTGAGTGGGAATGGACTCGCCGACACTGAGGCTGTTTAGGGGTTTTATTGTAGGGTGGGAGTCTCAGGCGTGTGGCACTGAAGGACAGTATGGGGGTAGGACCCTCTGTAGAGTGCCTACGGAGCCCTGGTGGTGCAGCAGTGAAGCACCGAGCTGCTCACAGAGAGGTGGGCACCCAAGAAGAAAGATGCCACAGCGGACTTCGGTAAGACCCTGCTGCGGCCTTCTTGTTGGTCCTACTGGTCGGTCGGTGTTGAGTCGGGACCAGGTGTGCTTTGGGCGGGTGTCGAAGCGCAAGGTGACCGTGGAGGGGCAGAGCGTAACAGACAGAGCACGACAGGGCTGCAGCAGACCCCCTGTCGGGAGCTGCCTCTTTACTGAGGGCTCAGTTGTCGGGCATCATGGCGAGGCGGGGGGCCTTGGGCGTGCTCAGGTACGGGGACAGGACGGAGCTGGTGTAGGTCAGGCTGCTGGAGATGCCGATGCCGGTGGAGGAGTTGGTGTTGCTGGTGGGGCTGCCAGCTGAGGGCGGGGACAGGGTGGTCAGCACCACGGTCCCCTCATCCAGGGAGCGCTTGTAGGGGACCGGGACATCCTCTCGGAGCTCCTGGAAGGCCACACAGGCCTGGAATAACTGTGGGCAGAGAGGACAGGGACAGGGCTGGGCAGGGGAAGGGGGCTCTGCCTCTGCTGCCCGCCAGCAGGTGCCTGGTGGTGCTGGGGTTCAGAGCAAGGCTGCAGGTTCAAACCCAACAGCTTCTCCTTAGATGTAGGGGCTGCTGGTGGGGTGAGGGTGCAGAGACGCCAGGTGGGAGCTCCACATGCAGGAGGAAGGGGCACTTTCTTGCTGAGATGCTCAATGCCCCCAGAAAGGCTGCATAGAGCCGGGGAGCCCACCCTGGAGTGAAGAGGGGGTCCTGGGTCAGGTGAGGTGTGTGTGTTGGGGAAATGGTCCTCACCCAGACAAAGGTGGAGAAGAAAGAGAAGGCGATGGCCGCCTTGGCGCTGCCGCTCCCCAGCTGGAGGTTCGGGCGCTGCGAGTGCTGCCACTGGTTGGCCAGGAAGCAGAAGCCCACGGACCAGACGCCGACCCAGAGGGCTGTGGGAGCAGGCGGAGGGCAAGGAGAGAAGACAGGTCAGGGAGAGCCGCTGAGGGAACCGCTGGGAATCTAGCCCCCAGGCCCAGTCCTCCCAGGGTGACCAGCAGACACTGTCCAGTAAGGCAGAGTTCCCCGCCACCATCTGTCGGCCTGTGGTGGCCTGTATGGGGGTATGATGTGAGACGCCTTGGCCACCAGGAGTTCAGGTAGCAGCAGGGTCATTCATGGGGGCCAGGTTTCAGTAGGGCTTCCAGGCTGACAAGGTAGAAAGGTGTGGCCGTCTACCTCGACAAATCGGCCATGGAAAACCCACAGCCTGTCATGGCGGGCAGGAGGTCTGCTGCAGCGCTGGGAGGTGAGACCCCAGGGTCTGAAGGCAAGCCACACACAGAACAGCTGCTGCAGCGGCCTTGCACATGCCTGTGATGGGAACCCAGTGTGTGGAATTTGGCAGGTGGGCGTGGCTATGACTCGGGAGAGGGGGCGGAACCAGGTGGCATGGGCGTGGCCACGGCTGGGGAGAGCGAGGCAGGACCAGGCAGCATTCACAGGAAGTGGATCACCCAGTGAATGGAAGGAAACCTGAGCACACTTTTGTGGCCGATGGACGCCGTCGGCCAGGACGGCCTGTTGGACAGAGCACATGCCGTTGCAGTCCATCTCCGCCCAGAAACGCCCCCCGCGGGTCTGAGGGAGGTGGGGAGGAGCAGCCCGCCTGTCCATCCAGCACGGAGCGGTCCTGGTGGCGCAGCGATTAAGTGCTGGGCCGCTAACTAGCAGGCCCGTGATTGGAACTTGTGTCCGCTCTCTCCCCAAACTAAATGAACAAGTAAACAAACGCACTGCCATCCTGACTCAGCGACCCTGCCGGACATCGTGGAACTGCCCCCGTGGGTTACCCAGGCCACGGTCAATAAGGGAGCAGCTTCCAGGCCTTTCTCCCTTGGAGCCGTTGGTTGGTTTCAACCACCAGGGCTCCCTCCCTTCCTGGTACCAGTGACGTTTCCAGAACTGCTCTGAGGAGCAGGGAGGCAATGGTGTGACGGCCTGGCCTGGCCCCCAAACTCTGCGGTATCGACTCACAGTGACCCTGTAGGACAGGGTAGAACTGCTCCTGCCGGCTGTCTGAGACGAACCCTTTATGGGAGCGGACAGCTCTGTCTTCCTCCTGAGGAGCAGCTAGCTGGGGGTTTGGAACTGTTGACCTTAGGGTCATCAGCCTGACACTTAACCCCACCCCCACCTGGGCTCCTAAGACCTGAGCAAACCAAGGGGACAAGGGGAGGGGGGACCTTTCCTGCCACAGAGCCGACTGTGACTCAGAGTGAGCCAACTGATAGGACAGGGTGGAAGTGCCCCTGTGGGTTTGAGATGAACTCACACGGGAACAGAAAGCCTCATCTTTCACCTGAGGAGTGGCTGGTGGCCTTGGAACTGTAACCTGTTTGGGCTGCGTCCAGACTAGGCAGCCCCCACCTCCTCTGCGGCTCCTCAGGAAGATGAAACCTCAAAGCCTCCATTCCCAGCCTCTCAGGAGGATGGATGACCTATTGAACGATGCAACTCCTACCCCAAAGAGCTTGTCTCTCCAGGCCGGGATTATGTAGCCCCTTCCCCAGCACCCCAGGAAGCAATTTATCTCTCCAGGCCTGTTTGTATAGCCCCTTTCCCAGCACTCCAGAGAGCAGGTTTGCAAACAGGAAAATGACTTCCCACAGGGTCGCATTCTGACTCAAGGCCCTGCAGCTGCAAGCAATAAAAAATCCCCCTTCCTGCTGTCAATGTCTACTTCCTTGGCCCTAGATAACTCCCACCGCCTCACCAACGAGCTGCAATTTCCCTGACCCAACTCGTTGGGTCTCAGAACCCGCCCGGGAGCTCAAGATGCTCCTGTCCCTTTCTCTGCTCTCCCTTCCCTCCCGGGAGTTCCTTCCCTTCCCTAATAAAGCCGCTCGAAGCCTCACGTTCTTTGTCTCAATCCTATCTCCGTTCAGTGTCTCAGTGTTGACCTCTCCTAACCCACGCTGCCTGAGTCGGCTCTGGCACCAGGTGTCTGCTCCTGTCCCACAGGGCTTTCCAGGCTGGGACTTTTGGGAAACCCACAGCCAGGCTTCTGGGTGGGTTCAAGATACCAACCTTTCAGCCAGGACTCAGCACGGAACTATCAGAACCACCCAGGGATCCTGGGGGGGTGGGAAGCAGAGGCTTCTGGAAATAGCCCTTCTAGAAATAGCCTGAGTCCCTGGCCCAGAAGGTGACCCTTCCATTGAGTCTGATGGGTGAGTGAGAATCTTCAGGGGGAAGGAAGCAGCAGTAAGAAGAGAGGTGGGGGTGAGGGGACACCCTGAGGAGTCGCCTCAAGCCTAAAGGCCTGGCGCCTGGCCCAGGAGGCGGGGTTCTCACCGGCCACGATGAAGTCCAGGAGCTGGAAGGCCGTCTTGAAGCGGGAGCTGGCAATTCGGTCCTCATGGGCATCCAGGAGCAGGAAGCCCAGGCAGCTGAGGAAGGCCAGCAGGCCGGCGCCCACAGCGAAGTTGCAGGCCACGGGGTTGTGGTTGAAGATGCAGTGCAGCTGCGAGGAGTTCGTCTTGTTCTGGAAGCCGTCGGTCAGCAGGGAGGAGAAAACCACCAGGGAGAAGATCTGGGGGTGGGGGTGTTCCCAGGACTCAGGGTGTTGCGGGTTCCCCACCATGTCACCCCTCAGAGCCCAATCATGGCCTGTCTCTCCTGCCCTGATGTGATCCCTTCCCCCAGTTTCCTGTCTGCCCTGAGGTTCATACCCCTGTGTCCCCAGAGTGGTCCTTCTCAGCCAAAGCAAGAAAGCCAGAAAAAGGAATCAATCAGAGGCATTGGTGGCAGGGCATTGAGCAGAACTGCCTTCCCAGACAAAGGAATGACAAGTATCCATCCTGGTGGCGCTGAAGGTTAATCGTTGGGCTGCTCACAGCAAGGTGTCAGCAGTTCAAACCCACCAGCTGCTCTGAGGTAGAAAGCTGAGGCTGTTTGCTCTCGAAATGATTTACAAAGCTTCAGCAGCCCTAGGCAGCATCGTTTCTTACTTTAGGCACTAAAGGGATTTGAAAAGGGAAGGGTTTGGGGCAGACTTGCAGGGGAGGGAGAAATCCCTTGGGTGGAGGGGGTGTCACATGGTTGGGGGCTCAGAGAAAGGCCAGGCCAGGCAGGAGTCGCTAGAAGGACTTAGGCAGGGAAGGCTGATACCTCTGCCTGGGTGGAGCCCAGGGGAAGGAAGACTAGACTGAAAATCAGGCTTGGTGATGGATTGGATGCGCAGGGTTGGGGTGAAGGTCAAGGAATGCTGAAAACTTGACCCTTCACTAGAATTTTAACTCCTTGGGACAAAGCTCAGAGGGGCTGCTTCCAGCATCCAGCACCTGACTGTCAGTCAATGACCGGCTTTGACCCCTTTCCACTTGCTCTTGTCCTGCCCGTCAGAGTGGGGACAGGGGAGGGAAGGGACTCTAAACGCTCAGTGTCCTCCTCAATTTTCTCTGTCAACATCAATGTCAACTATGTCAACATCAATCAAAGGGAGGAGTTCTCGGGGGTCGGGGAAGCAAGTGGTTAGGCACTGGACTACTAGTGGGAAGGCTGGTGGTTCAAATCCACCCAGAAGCATTTGGAAGAAAGGCCTGGCAATCCAGTTCCAAATATACATATATATTTGGTTTGGAGAACCCTAAAGTACAGGGGGTCACCGTGAGGTGAAATTAACTCATTATCAACCAACATGGCGTTTCTATGTTGTTTTGGGGTTCAACACACACACACACAACTTTTTTAACTACTCGGAAGTTAAGAAATCTTAATGAAAATATTAGCATTGTAGTAGAGTGGCATCAATTCCCGACAGAGTAGAACTGCCCTGAGGGGTTTTTCAGTCTGTCACCGACGCTGGAAGAGTGCTGCTGGCCCAGTGATAACCCGGCCTCTTGCTAACCAAAAGGCTAGAGGTTCAAACTTATCCACCACAAAGCTGTTAACGGCTGTGGCCATGGGCTCCAGTAAGCACTACGGCCTTGGAACCCCGCAGGGGCTGTTCTACTGTCCTAGGGGGTCACTGAGTTGGGATCGACCCACCGGCATCGACTTGCCGGCAATGGGTTCGATTTGGGTTTCTTCATCATCGTGGGAGCAGGTGGCCAGGGAGCAGATGCCACTAGGCTGGTGTGACTCACCGCGCTATCGGTTAGCCGCTGAGCACTCAACCGTTGCGCCACTGTGGCTTCTTGATAAAAAAGTCAAAAGAATGAAAAAAAAATCCATCTCGAAAAGAGAGTGTTTTCAAATGGGTGGGGTTTGCCTTAGCCAAAGGAGCAGGCATCTGAGATCTCCCTGGATCTGGAGTGGGTGGCAGGACTGAGAACCGATTCTGTGGGAGGGCTGAAAGCTTGCCAACTTTCGGAGGCCACACCAAGTGAAGGGCTAGCAAGCCCATCTATCTCCTGTGACCTCACATCCATTTTACCGGCGCCGCCTCACTGGCACCTGGCGCCAGCCCCACATGGCGGCTGATGCTAATTCCTCTCTGCTTCACGGGTGATAAATCGAAGCCATTATTGGGCAGGGGAAGGAGCCAGGTGCGCCTGACTGACGTAGCCCACGCTCTGGCTATGTGGCCTCAGGCCAAGTCTGTGCTCCTTGCAGCCTCAGTTTCCCAGGCTGTCCCTGTGCTCTGGGGAGAGGTGGCACATGGCCTCTGGGGCTCAGCACTAGTAGGTGCTGGTGAAAATGGCAGCTTTGGTAGATGGCCTAGGAACCCTAGTAGCGCATTGTGTAAGCTCTCAGCTGCTACTAGAAAGGTCAGTGGTTGGATCCTGCCAGCAGTCAGTGCTGGTAGAGCATGTATAGGCTCATGATGAAAATCGAAAGACATCTGGAAACAATTAGTCCCATGAACGAATCGAAAACCAAACTCACTGCCATCAGGTCAATTGAGACTCAGAGTGACCCTGTAGGACAAAGTAGAGCTGCCCCTGTGGGTTTCCAAGGCTGCAAACTTTTCTGAGAGTGAAAAAGAAAAGCCCAAGCTCATCTTTCTCATGTGGGGTAGCTGGTGGCTTCGAACTGCTAACCTTGTGGTTAGCGGCCCAATGGGTAGACCACTACATCCCCAGACTCTCTAGACCGTGCAAACTTCAGTCTCCACAATCCTGCGACTGGAAGAACTAGATGGTGCCCGGCCACCTCCACCCACTGCTCTGGAAAGGATCCCATGAGAAGGTCCCGGAGAGCGTGGGAGAAACATGTGGAACTGTTCTCAAAATCACAAGAGAGCAGGCTGACTCGTCTGACACGAGACTGGGAGGACCTCTGATACAATGGCCCGTAGTCATCCTTCAGGTCTTAAACTGAACTCACCTCCACGTTAGAGTCACCAAGCATTTGAGATCAAAAGGACAGCATTCCCTCCAAGGACAATGTTCAGAGTGTTAGGAAGGGAGGGATGGATAGACAGGACACGCTGGCAGTGGGATACGTGAGGGTCCATTGAGAGAACCTAAATGGACGAGCTGAAGCAGAACCTGGATGAACTATTGAATGCAAACTGATGATCTGTTCTGTAAACCTTCCCCTACTTCACACCTGAGAATGCCCTGTGACCCGGAATCCACAGGACATCAGATAGCACAGGGCCTCGTCTAGAGAGGCAATGTGTCCTCTGAAGGTCAGTGGTGCCGGAGGGGTGACCCTCCTGACTGCCAGGTCATGGACAGTGCTGCCCATCTGCCCCAGAGACCTTGGGCTGCCGAACTGGGCACTTAGCATGCAGACAGAGGGCTCAGCTGGGCCACAGGGACCTAGCAATGCCTCCCCCCACCCCCATCCCCCCAGCCTCCATTCTCCCTCCCTCCTCCTCCAGGACAGCCTCCTTTCACGCCCTCCGTGGCCCATCCCCAGGGAGGGAGCAAAGATTCATCAGTTATGGTACCAGCTGGCGGGCGGCAGGGAGGAGAAGAGCACCAGCTGCCCAGAGGCTCCCTGGCGAGGGCCAGGCCAGGGGGGAGGTGGTGGGGGCGGAGGAGGGGAGGACGGAGGTGGCGGGCAGAGTCCGTGACCAAAACGTCTGGCACAATCCCTTGGCCCTGCTCCTGCCCCCACCCCATTCCTGCAAAAAACAAACAAACCCCAAACACACAGGGTCCGCACCAGCTGGGCTTCATTCTCCCTTTCCTTCCTAGGAGGCTGCGACACAGCAGCGTGGATCCAAGTTAGACCTGCTTGCTAGCCCGGTGATGTCCTTGGGCGAGTCACTCTACCTCTGTCCTCCACCCTCCCTGCCACCAACTCCATTGCGACTCCAAATGACCCTGTAGGACAGAGTGGAGCTGCCCCGTTGGGTTCCATCTTTGGGGGAGCCGACCACCTCAACTCTCCCCCTTGGAGTGGCTGGTCGTTTCCAAAGCCTGCTGACCTTCGGGTTAGCAGCCCAATTCCAAACCCCTTTCACAGGCCTGTTTCCCCCTCCGGTCAAAATCCAGACCAAATCTGCTGCCACCGGGTCAATTCTGAATCAGAGGACAGCCTCTGTGGGTTTCCGAGGCTGTACCTCTTGACAGGAGCAGCCAGCCTTGTCTGTCCGATGAGCGGCTGGTGGCTTAGGCCGGCCTTTCCTTTAGTCGTCCAAGCGTAACCACTTCACGGTCAGGAAGGCTTCCTTGGGTTAAACCCAGGAGTGGAGATGATGTCAGGAAGGAGCCCGGCACGGGAAGATGGTATTCAGACCCTCTTCTGCCTTTGGGTGGGAATGGCACTGGGTGCAAGTCCCCATCACCCTGTGTCGTTTTTTTTGTGTGTGTGTGGTCAAGTTTGACTCATATCGCCTCCGTGTGTGACAGGGTAGAACTGCCCCATAGGGTTTTCCAAGCCGTCATGGTTAGGGAGCAGATCACCAGGTCTTTCTCCCATAGAAGCACCTCTGGGTGCGTGGGAACTGCTGACCTTTAGATTAACACCCAAGTGCGTGCTCCTTGTACCACCAGGGCTCCTCAGGAATGCGATAATGATTTCTAAGTTAAGGTGTGACAAACCCTTGGGTCTGGGCCGGGACACGATGACCCAAGTGTTATGTCAGGTGTTCCTGTCAATTGTACTTCCCTGGGAAACTGGGCTTTTTCCATGTGATTCATTGAAATCTATATATCCGAAGGGAAGTCCTGAAAAATGTTGCTCCAAAGTTACAGGAACTTTTGTTATGTAGAAATATTCAAGTGGGTTCTAGTTTTGATTTTGTTCTTTTCCATTGAGGTTTTATTGTTGTTGGATTTTTTTTCTGTTTGTTTTTATACATTTTTCTTCATATGAAATCCAGAATAGGTAAATCTATAGAGACAGTAACTGGATTAATAGTTTTTTGGGGTTATGGCAGGGGAGGTGGGGGGAAAATGAGGAGCTGAGTATAAGAAAGAAAAAAATTGTTCTAAAATGGATTGTGGTGATGAATGCACAAATCTTTAATATGTTTAAACTATCAAATTGCTAGAACAAAAACATCATATCATTATGTGCTCACCTCCCTGATATGATTGCTGAAGCTCACCTCCCTGATATGATTGCTGAAGACAAATGGGTGCATAAGCAAATGTGGCGAAGAAAGCTGATGGTGCCCAGCTATCAAAAGATATAGTGTCTGGGGTCTT